CTATATGGAAATTTGTGATCTAATTATGAACATCAAATGTTATACACAGAAAAGTATACACCTAGCAGGAGTTTCACATGCATTCTTCATTAATATCTGGAACAGTGGTCTCAACCTTCCTAATGCTGACCCCCAACCATAAAATTACTTTCATTGTTACTTCATAACTGTAATTTTGCTAATGTTATGAATAATAATGTAAATATCTTGTATGCAATATGTCTGATATGCGACCCCTGTGAAAAAGTCTTTTTGACTCCCAAAGGAGTCAAAAGTCACAGGTTGAGGAACACTGAGAATCACCTGCTTACCTCCCTTATACAACTTGAAAGATTCATGGCCAGCATCGATTCCAACAGAGATGGGCCCTATAGTTGCTACAGCATGCATTAAGGCTTTCTCATTCTTTGAGACAAACATAAAGTCTGTGACTCTAGCAGCAGAGTGTTCAGGATGGTACCTGCAGGGTCCTTCCTTTAAAACATAAAGAGATAAGAGGCTCAGTTATTTCCACCCACCTCCTGGGGGCATGCATTAGAAACACAACCCTGCACTTGGCAGCTGAGCATCCCCATATCTGGAATGTTAGAAATCACCCTAGGAAGTGAAATGTTACTGGGAGATTTGGAACCGAAAAATCAACTCTCATGCCTTCAATGACAACTCAATGACACTTCAATGACACAGGTCTTTAAGTCTGTTAGAAATCATGCAGGGAGATATATCCATTAAAGGTTTGCGTGTTCGCTGTGTGCATAGAAGCAGGAACAGCTACAAGGAAACCATCACATTAGAAGCCTGTGCAAAGACTGATGCTGTATTGAGACCATTGGTGGTGCAGAGCAATTCTACCTTCCAATGTGAGTTGTGAGGACAATGGATTATTATGCAATTTCCCCTTGCTTGAAGCTGCCTGAAACTACAGTAGCATAAAAAATCCACTTACTTTTGCCTCATATGGATAGGTTGCCTCAGCCTCTAGACCTCTATTGTGCTGCACGTACTTTAAAGCATAGTATGTATTGCCTTCATAACAGCCCAGGTTGCCTTCAGGTCTGGAACAGTCCACGAGGTTCTGTGGACTCAGCGAGACCAGTCTGCGTGTTTTCCGGAACATCTGTCCTTCTATGGCACCAGCCACAGAAAAAGCCCAACAAGAATTACATCTACCCTAAGCAGAGAAGAAAAGACAGTCATCCACAAACAAATAGCAACTCCAAATCAGACAGCTGAATATTTTGTCAACGAATGAACTATTAGCAGGTGATTGGTGCCAAGGGAGGGATTTTCATTCTTCTTGGGGACCTGACTGCTGGCAATTTGCCTGTGCCTCCGAATGATCACACACTCACGTGCACAGGCCTGTGCATGAACATATGGAGAGTGCATAATGTTGTCTGACTGCTATCACTAACAGCAAATAGGACGTGAAGTCTGGAGAGCGATTTGGGGGAGTCTGCTAGGCAGAGGGAGATAATGGTGGATGGATATGATCAATATATATTGTATAAACATATGAAACCTTCCAAAAATAAAATATAAATATTATTAAAAGTGAACTATGTATCACTCCACAGACATGTGAAACTGTCATACCTGTATCTTCACAGGAGTCACATAGCCTTTTCTTCTCCAATCCACAAATTTGGGGACATAACTGACCATAGGTGGCTGGATACTTTTCCTTTTCCTACGAGTCTGGACTGGAATGACAGTCATCATTTTCCTGAATTCTTCACCAGTCTTCAAGGAAAAGAACATAAATCACTAAAAATCAAAAGACTTCACATCAAGAATTGAAAAACCAAACAAAACCACACGGTGAATCAATGCATAAAAATCAAAAGACTTCACATCAAGAATTGAAAAACCAAACAAAACCACCCGGTGAATCAATGCAACCCATGCTCACCATGTCACCAAAGGTGTTCATTTCCACGGTGAAGCCTTCCCACACTCACCATGTCACCAAAGGCGTTCATTTCCACGGTGAAGCCTTTCTTCCCTTGCTTATACTCTGCATTGTACAGTTTGACCAGTTTCAGATTTTCTTCCCATACTGTTCTCTTCTGTCCTTCTTCCTCCTGGAAATAAACATAGTGGATGACACTTTTTTCTAATCAAGCCACTAGGCAAGCTGGCCAAGGGGACTCACTGCCAGAGGTGGACAGAGGTCATGAGACAAATCTCAGGAAACTATATCAGAAGCCGTTCTCCACACACCTGAGAACAGAGATCCTGGACACTGTCTTCTCAGTGCATGGCTTTGGGCAATTCCTGAGGTGGGCTCTACGGCCTCTATTGTACCCACAAATGATAACAGCAAGGACAATTCCCTGTGGGGTCCCTCTGGTCCGATTTTTATATTACTCACCAGACTGTAGTTTTTTTCATATTTTATCTTCCACTCCTGCCATTCAGAATCCAAACTGGGATCAGATGATGAAGCAGCTGTGGCCATTCCCAAGCACAGGATGGCCAGGAAGACAACAAGAGTCATTTCTCAAGACCTAGAGAGTGAGGATGAGAAACAGAGATGGGACTACAGCCACATTTCTAAAATGCCTCTTATCCCTTCCTGAGAGTTAAAGATATCTGGGGTGGTTAAAATTACTTGAAGTGCTTTTTCAAATAAATATCCACAGACTTTGGAAATATGTATTTTGGATAAAGATGCCTTGGATGGTACTTAGTTGCTCCACTAAAATGCAAAGCTAGTGTCCAGAATTCTAGGAATAGAAACAGCCTGCATACTACAAATTTTCATTTTCAGAAGGATATCCAAACACCTCAAAACTGAAAAGTTGCACAACTGGGAACTTGGAACATGGAGTTTTACGAAGTAAAGCTTGTCTTATGTGACATCTGATCCTGCGGCCAAATGTCATTCATATCCCTAACTAACAGTCACTGTATATCCTCGTCATGAAAACTCCCCTCTTGAATGGAAAGTTTTCTGAACTGTTGTGCTTTGAAATTATGAGAAAGATCAATATGATTCCCTTGGTTCCACCTTTGTGATTACACACCCCACTCACTGCTTCAGTGGTGAAAGGGTCACTGGAAAACACCACTGGACAGCAGTGTAGGTGGGGCACAAGCAAGAGTTACTGCCAGGATTCAGGTCATGACTTAATGTGTTTCATAAGTGGCCCTCACTACATGATTGACGATGGCCATCCCATCTGCTAACATTTCTGCACATCTGAGTGAAGAATATTGTAATTTCCCAGTGGCAGTACGAGACAGGACGCAGGAGGAGGGGCAGGAGGAGGAGGAAATGATACCTGAAGCACAAGGATCAGTTACATTACATATCTGTGCTTTACGGAAACCAATGCCAAGTTGACCCACGTGGGCCTGTTTTCCCTTTGATTTCCCTACCCACTTCTGTGGCGATATATTGTTTATGATTTATTAAAGTTTGACTGAGAATTCAGAAAGCAAAGCCAGGCACCAGGTATAGAAACCAGGCAAACACCTTTAATCCCAGCAGCCAGAAGATAGGAGGTGGATTACACACCTTTAATCCTAGGACTCAGGATTAAGAGATAGATGGATCTCTGTGAGTCCAAGGCCACCCAGATGTACACAAGAGTGAATCAGTTTAAAAGAAAAGAATCATAGGTCACACCTTTAATCCCAACGTTAGGGAAGTATATAAGACAGAAACAAGGTCTCAGAGATTCATCCATTCTCCAGCCATGCTGAGGAAAGATTATACAGTCTGAGGCTTGGTGAGAGCTCACGGAGACAGGACCAGCTACCTCATTCAGTCTGAGGCGGAGATAAGAAGCTACTGGTAGGCTGCTTTGCTTTTCCGATATTCAGCTTGAAACTTGAACCCTGATATCAATCTCTGGGTCTTTCATTGATTCCTGATACAACTTCCACCTCCACACAGTGGGGCTGCAGTTGTTATCTTCCTAATGAGAAGATAGTTTCATTCTCTAAAAGGATTCTGTCATCCAGTGACCCTTCCCATTCTGTCTTAGAGGAGGTGGGGACTTACCAGGAAGGCCTCTGATGTTGTGATGCATTCCACAGACTCAGGTTTTAAGATTCAGCTGATGTCCCAGGATCTGACCCTGCTGCAACTTCACCTGAGCCTTAAATACAAAGTTTCTGGCCCTTAAGTCAGTCTTGCCCTTCTTCTGATTGGCTCTGCTGGTGACTACAAACATTGAATCAAAGAAGGAAATAAAAGAACAGTTGAGATTATAATTAAGAACAAAAATTAGAATACATAGCAAGATAAATGAAAAAAACCAACAGAATGTAGTGAATCTTCAGGTGATGCAGCCATAGCATTACAAAGGAAGAAGTTGAAATTCTTGGGTATATTTTTTGCTGTTTTTTAAAAAAGGAATGATCACATAAATAATTTAACTTTATATTTCAATGGACCAGAAAAAGAAGAAAGTTAGATTAAGGTAGCAGAAAAGAAAAGAAATGAAAGATTGGATTAGAAATAATTTAAATAGAGAATAGAAAAATACAATAGAATTAAGGGTTGACATTTTTGAAGGTAATTGAAGCTAGACAGCTATTAATTGAACAAAGAAAAGCAAGAATGATCTGGAAAATAAACTGAATGAGAAATGAAAGAGGGCTGTTGTCTGAGCGAGGATTAAATATGGGGGATAACCCATACACTGTGTCTTAGAGCTCTCACCCAGGTAGCTACAAAGGGTTGGTTGCCTGGTAGGTCTGAATATTGCCAACATCATGATTAGAGGGCATGTTCAGCTCTGCAAACTCAATTTCTTAAACAAAGCATTAAAATGAATGAATCCCTCATTTAGTTGTACAAGTTGAACTATAAACAGCAAAATGAACACCCAGGGAGACAGATGGAATTGATAATGATGAATAAAACATTGTATATAATAAAACACAAAGTAGAGACATGAAATCCACATTGATTTAATATCTTCTGTAGGAGAAGGAATGGAAAGGAATAATATACTATGAATTATAATAAAACAGGTGAGTGACATGATAAAATGGCCTAAAATAATATCTATAAAACAAAAGTAAAGAAAACCAACCAAGGAAGGACTTAGAACAGAATGTGGGAACTTAATTTTGCTGCAGAGGAGCTCTCTGGAGGGAAGCAATGAAAGTGGAGAAGAAGGGTCCCTGAGAAAGATGCACAGCAGTGATTTATGACTGGGTTACTTCTGCAACAATGCAGCTAGTGTACAAGTAAGAATGGGTTATTTAATACACACACACACCCACACACCCACACATATATATATATATATATATATATGCAACATAGCAGGAACTCTTTCTAGTAATTCTTTGATTGATTTCCATGACAACCAGGTCCTCACATATGGGCCCTTATTTTTCCAGAAGCAAACCATGACAGGTTTGTATGTATGTCTATCTCTCAATTCAAACATTTTAACTGCTTTTTATTCTGATCCCAAGAAAATACCAGGATTCATTTTCCTTTATTTATTTATTTATTTATTTATCCATTTTTAAGACAAAGTCTTGTAATCACAGCTGACATGGAAGTCACTATGTAGACCAAGATAGCCTGCAACACACTGGGAATAGTCTGCTTCTGCCTCCAGAATGCTGGGATTAAAGGCATGTGCCACCATGTCATAATTATTTGCATATATGCAACAATTTATTTTTACTGTGGTAAAAATACTCATGAGGTTCCATTTATTAGTTGTTGATTATAATGCCTATACTATAGGTGTTTGGGTTAAACTTGTGCCAATGTGTTCAAGACTATTCCCCACTTTGTCTTTGATCCACTTCAGTGTGTCTGGCTTTATGTTGAGGTCTTTGATCCAGTTGGACTTGAATTTTGTGCAGGGTGATAAATATGGATCTATTTGCATTCTTCTACATTCAGCTTTCCAGCTTGACCAACATTATTTGTTGCAGATGCTTTCCATGATCCAAAATAACTAAAAGATGGAGAAAGAATATCCAAATTACCCCAATCAGAAATGAAAAGGGGACTGTAGCTTTGGGGGGATTTTTATCTTTTTTTTTTACTCTTTGGGGGCCCACCAACCAGTTCCCAAATAAGTATACAGAGACTTATTCTTACTTATAAATGCCCAGGCTTAGCTTGGCTTGTTTTTAGACAGCTTTTCTTAACTCAAATTATCTTGTCTATCTTTTGCCTCTGGGATTTTACCTTTCTCTATTCTATATTCTTTTCTTTACTCTTTATTCCTTGGCTGGTTGTGTGGCTGGGTGGCTTGTCCTGTCATTCTCCTTTTCTTGCTCCTCCTTCTACTTTTTTATTCCTCTCCAGGCCTAGATTTCTCCTTCTATTTATTCTCTCTGCCTGGCAGATCCTCCTATTTCTCTCTCCTGCCTAGCTATTGTCCATTTATCTCTATATTAAACCAATCAGTTGTTTTAGGCAGGCAAAGTAACACAGCTTTACAGAGTTAAACAAATGCAACATAAAAGAATGCAACACATCTTTGCATCATTAAACAAATATTACACAACACAAATGGATGTAACAAATGCAACATAAAAGAATGCAACATATCTTTGCATCATTAAACAAATATTACGCAACACAAATGGATGTAACGTATCTTTAACCAATATTCCACAGCGGGGGACCAGACACTCAGGGAAATCTAGAGAATCATAAGGACATACTCTAAAATCTTGTATTCCACCTAGTTGGAAAATCTAAAAGAAAGGGGTGATTTTCTCAGTAGGTACCACTTAGCAAAGTTAATTCGAGATCAGCTAAACAATTTAACAGACCTATAACCCCTAGTAAAATATCCTTTCCATTTTGCTATGTCTGCATATTTCAAATAAGGTAATGAAAAAATGAGGAGTCAATAGAGGGAAAATTTTTCAGTGTTCCTCATGCAATTTCTTTCTTACACCTATATCCTCACAAATGAAGTTTTAAAATTAATGATATTTTGATACAGAAATTCATATCTAGAAATTCTCCCTCAGAAGTTGCCCCATACTTAGTAAATGACAGTTTATCCAAAGGTTAAACAATATTAACAACTGGTAACTCTGGAGAACTGCACACCAATCGCAGTTACGGCTTGACTGTTTTCACATATCTGGATTCTACTGTAGCACTCTGGGGGATATTGAACTTGGGTTGATTCATGAACTCAGGGGAAAGTCTCTCTGTAACAATTACACGTGCCATTTGCATCACCCCAGTAGAAGGGACTCAGTGAGCATTCTTCCCCTTTCACTTTGTTTTTTAGGGGGTTCACCCTTTAAGGAAGATATATGGGGGTAAGGGAAGGATGTAGTGACCCTCCAAGACGTGTGACAAACTGTAAAACATGCTTCCAGGTCCTGAGATGTCGTCAGAGTGAGAGAAGCTTTGGAATATAATTTTGATTCATCAGATGCTAACTTAGATAGGTGCAGGTATGATTGCATAGTGACACAAGGACAGACCCTTGCCTTCCCTTGAGCGTGCCAACAGCATTAAACATTGGTTCGGTTCTTCCTGTGTAG